CCGCGTAGCTGAGCCATCCTCTGCCGCGCTGGGGGGCTGTGAACATGGATCCCTCCCGGTCCGAGCTCTCTGACGGCAATTTAAGGCAGGGGTTTGTTACCTACTCTGCCTGCTGTCCAAATCACTGAACGTTTTCCATGAGGAGCCTCCCCTTCGGCTGCCGGCGGCTCTGCGAGCATGCACTATGTGTGCTGGAACTTTCTGAGCTCGCTTTCTGCTCGAGGCTAAGAGTTGGGAGGGTTTTTTGTAGCAGAAAAAGCTCCCCTGCTTCCAAAGGAGGTGAACGGAAAATAAAACCCAGGTTTGCTTGGGAGGGGAGACTGGCAGCTGGTCTTCCCGGCCCCTTGGGTTTTGCCACGTGTTATGGTGTGCTGGGGAGAAGGAGGTGCGTGGCGAGGGGTTTCGGTAGCTGAGCGTGCACCCCAGCTGCCTCACGGGCTTGCAGCACTTCCCTGCAAATCTGCTGCAGCTGAGCTTGCTTCGAAGAGCTCAGCTCAGCTTCCTTCGAGCCCGCCAGCCGCTCCGGTGTCCCGGCTTGGCTGCTGCCGGGCTGCGGGAAGCACGCGTCTCCTCTCCTGAACCCCGAGAACCACAGCCGAGGGCCTCGCTCTTCCTTAGCTCGGAGGATGTGACGTTCAGGCGACGCTTTGATGTTGTTACGTTTGAAAAACCAGAGCAGGGTTCAGGTTTCAAAGGGCTTGCGGGGACCCACCGAGACTCCCCGCTCGATGGGACCGTAAGTCAGGCTCCTAGGATGAGATCGCAGAGGCAGTGGCTGGGACAGAAAGCTTCCTGGCCCTGATCCGTTCACACGATTTGCGTGGTTTAGCTCCAGTCTGGAGGAGTTTTTCTCTAGCTGGGTCCGTCAGACGCGGCGATGGGTCCGTTCGTCCCCCTGCCACCTGCAAACAGCCCCTCTCTGGTGGGTGCCGAGCCCACCCCCAGACCTTGCACTGGGTGTGTCGTCTCCATCTGCACCACCAGCTGAGCCATCCTCTGCCGCGCTGGGGGGCTGTGAACGTGGATCCCTCCCGGTCCGAGCTCTCTGACGGCAATTTAAGGCAGGGGTTTGTTACCTACTCTGCCTGCTGTCCAAATCACTGAACGTTTTCCATGAGGAGCCTCCCCTTCGGCTGCCGGCGGCTCTGCGAGCATGCACTATGTGTGCTGGAACTTTCTGAGCTCGCTTTCTGCTCGAGGCTAAGAGTTGGGAGGGTTTTTTGTAGCAGAAAAAGCTCCCCTGCTTCCAAAGGAGGTGAACGGAAAATAAAACCCAGGTTTGCTTGGGAGGGGAGACTGGCAGCTGGTCTTCCCGGCCCCTTGGGTTTTGCCACGTGTTATGGTGTGCTGGGGAGAAGGAGGTGCGTGGCGAGGGGTTTCGGTAGCTGAGCGTGCACCCCAGCTGCCTCACGGGCTTGCAGCACTTCCCTGCAAATCTGCTGCAGCTGAGCTTGCTTCGAAGAGCTCAGCTCAGCTTCCTTCGAGGCCGCCAGCCGCTCCGGTGTCCCGGCTTGGCTGCTGCCGGGCTGCGGGAAGCACGCGTCTCCTCTCCTGAACCCCGCTCCAGTCCGTGGG